TCAGTGTTTTGTGTATCCCCACAGGGGATACACATATCACTAGTGATATGTGTGCGGGGATACACATATCACGGGGATACACATATCACTGTGACAAAGGGACAAGACACACTCGCATACTATTAAACCGGTGGAGATTTCGTTTCAGGCTATATAAAGTATAAAGCTTGCTGTCGTCCCCAATCCCTCGCTCAAGTTAGCGTCGAAAACATTATCAACCAATATATTTTCGGTAACTTTGTGGCCATGGAAGTTAGCGTCTGTTTTGTTAAGGGGGTACTACAGTGGTCTTAAGTTAACAATGTAAGAATGGTATAAACATAGCTTCAAATATGTCCGGCAAGCTGTTGTCATCCCTTGTCCAAACCAAATCGATTGAGTTGGTTTTGGCGCCGATCGCTGCACAGGTTAGTTGATTTTTTGTATAATTTTGATTTGACAGTTTTGGTAGCTCTAAAGATAGGGTTATACTCACAATCGAAGCAACTTCGGATTTCATAGCACCATTCTGCTCTTTGAAAGCCTAGCTTGTATCAGTTTGTCTGCTCAAAGTGGATCGAATTTTGCCCTGGTGGATGTCACCAGTTTGTGGCTTGTTAGTTTCTCAATGGTAAGGGTTCTTGAAGTCCCTGAGATATCTGAAATTTCCCTGTGGTTGCTACCCGGAAGTATGGTTCCAGAGAATGTTGGGCACCGGGGTTGGGCACTGGTCAACTTAAAAGCCCCAGGGATAAATATCTGCAGGGTGCAAAGAAAACCAAATTTTGGTCTTGCTAACTATGGTTTACTAGCCTGAAAGTCAATCTCACTAGCTCCCAAAATTTAATCTCTTATTTCTGTAATTTGAATTTCCTCCAGAATTTTCCCAAAAAACGTTCCTTGTCTAGGCAGGTAAAGGACAGAGCCATTGGCACAACTGCTAAATCCACTAATCTTAAGACTATCAGACACAAATTTCTTTGCGCTGATATGTAGATGCAAAAATTAATTTTGCATTCTCAGTCTATTCTTGGCATTCAATCAGAGAGCTCGCTAGACTGGGAGTTCATATTGTGGTAGGAGGGCTTTAGGAGCTACAGGGCAGGAAAAAACCCAGGTCTGATTGCCCGGGGCAAGTAAATTTTGCTCTTGGGCAAGTGAAAACGGACGATTGGCAGTCCAGTGGGCAAGTGAAATCAGCCTGCGTGGTCTTGTTAGTGATAATTTCCAAAGACTGCAAGATGAGCAAAACAATAAGGTGAAAGCGTGAATTAATTTAGTTGATAAGGCATGAACATGCCTATTGGGCGGGTAATAGTTTAGTGGGGGCAACTGAAAACTGAAATGTACCAGCCCACTGGGCAACTAGATTTCAAATTTTTTTCCTGCCCTGAGCTAGACATCAACAAAGTCCAAATTATTAGCTTATTTACATCAATTTGTTGGAAGTACACAGGTGGTTATGTGTCAAGAAGATTTCCTTGTGTGTCACAATCAACTGTCAACTGGATCCTGAAAACGTGCTAGAGAAACTTCAAGTGTTGTTGTTGTTATTCTGATTTGTAGCTTCAAACTGAGCAGAGACTCTACTTTGTGTAACTGAATAAGAGGCAGAATATGACAATACTTGCAAATATTTTACGCAGTTCAGTACTGTAACAGTATTTACTTATTAGAGTACATATACATCTTTGTTCACCTAAAATAAAAGGTTCAGAACATTCTATGGTACATGTGCTAGTAATTAAAAATACTATTTGTGCTTATTTATAATCTATCAAATCTTTGAACAAAGGGACTGTAATAATAAAATTATTCTTATAAAACAAACATGATTTTTTACACAATAAAAGTTGGGAAATTATGTCTAATAATAGCAAGCCAAAGGATTTCAAACTGTGCGGATTGGTTGCCCGGGGTTCACATGGGTAACGATCAGAAATGAAACAGAAAGATTAGACTAAGTGTAAAAATTTCCCAAATCATTTGCGTACAAACTAAGAATGACTTGTTGACATGAAAACATTGTTAAGAGGAGAGAGAAACTGGAAAGGAACCAAAAGCCATTATATACTTTGACTGCTGGAATTTTAACAGCAAGTCAGTAATACCTTGCATTGAAATGAAATGATGTGGTTCCCCACATTAGTCTTGACATAATATTGTTACAGTCAAATCCCAGGGCCTGCAACAGTGGGAAGAACTGAATGTGTGTTGACTGGTATCTGCTTTCATAGGCTTATAATGTTGTTTACAAGTGTTAAAATTTAATTGTTTTTAATTACCTTAAGGTATCACAACTGATTCTATTGAATGAGGCTGCACAAAGAGATGGTGTTCCATTGCCTGACTTGGTGCCCAGTGCCCAACAGATCAGAGAGGCTATCAAGAGCCTGATACTGGCTGGACAAAAGTTGGTCTCTGAAACTCCAGATAATGTAAGTGAACCAGTGAACATGCATGATTTGAAAACCCATAATCTATACTCATCTAGATAAATAGAGCTTTTAACTGACCAAAATTATTATACATTTGTCATAATATTACATTTGATTATTCCCGTATCTTGGCAATTGATACCACTTGTGGGTGCAAGTTTAATGGCCTGGATTGTTGAGTATCTGAATGTGAAGTAAATAATATAATCATGGTAAGAGTTAGAGGTTAGAGAGTAAGAGGTAGAGTTCTCGTTATCATGCTTTTGTCTTAATGAAAAATAAGCTGAAAAAATTTATTGTTAAATGTTAGGATTTGAAGTCAGAAATGCCATCAGCTTGTGATACTGTAAGAGATGCAGGGAATGGTCTATTAATGGCGACACATCAGCTTAAACAGCAGCCATTCTCAAACAAAGTGAGGTACAACTTGGTTGACTCAGCTAGAAATATACTTGAAGGAACCATGAAGGTATTAACCTCACTTTATTTACTACCAACATGTCTAAATACAAATGCTGGTTTATTAGTGCAACTTTCTGCAATATTTAGATCAATGCCCCAAAGTGAGTCCTTCGTGAGAGAGAATAAACATTCATCTTCTATTATTAGAATTTATTTTCTATTCCAGATTTCCAAGAAAAGTAATTATGCTTCTCTTGAGACATGATTTCCAGCCATTCCTGGTGAAATCTTTATTTGCATTTTAAGTATTTTTGCAGATCTCCATCTAAATTCCTCAGGAATATAACAATAATGATCTTTGGGGATCCTCAGAATTTTTTCCAAAGATCTTTATCTCTACTCATGTATTTTCTAACTCATGCGCCGTCCATCTTTGACACTTGCCATACAATTAGATTGCAGGCAGTCTTTCATTTGGTCAAAAAGTGGAGGGAAGAAGGAGAGGAATGCAAACGACAATTCAGCAAACAAGCATTGGAAGACAAGGGAAAAGAGAGACTGCACTGGCTTCCTACTGTGTTTCTGAAGCCCTTTAACTGTTCATATCAACGAGACCTTGGCCTTTTTGTTTATGACACTTCTGTATCAAATATTTTTCTGCAAATTGACTGAAGCTGTATCTGTATGATGCGATCAGTGATTCAATGCCAAAGGAGCTTGTATTGCTCAAGGCCAAAAACTGAAAATCCAATCTGCCGCCTGTATCTGATTTTTGTCATACAAGTGTTCATTTAAGATTTTCCATTGAAAACAGTGGCAAAGGAATCTTGTGATGTCTCTAATGGTGATATCCATGACAAGAAACAATACAACTTGCAACAGTTTTAATTACACCTGACATACACAAAATTCAAGTAACCAACTTGTTCGTGGAATATTTCAAACTCTGTCATTATTGTACAATTGGAGAGATTAAAACATATCTTGCAATGGTAGTGAGCAAAAGCAAGCTACACTCAAAGTACATGGTGAATTGCAGGGGTGTCATAATAAAGCAACAGATAACAGCTGAAACCGTGCAGGCCTACAGTATGACCTCTAAACATTTTCCTGTCATTCAGTCAAAAGGCTGTACTCTACTTTAAAGTCCTTCTAATAACACAGCCCAATTAAAAACAGCCTGATTAAACACAGCCCGATTAAAAGTAGAGAATTCAAAATTCAAACAAGAGTGGCAAATACACAAATGTTGTGAGTCATAGGAGACAAACTGTACACTGGAATTGGCAGAATTTGGCGTGTGCTGTAGGTTGCTGACAGACGTGGGACATAACTTTGTAGACCAACCAATAGAATTATTCTATCACCAGAGTGCTGAGCATCAGAAACACTGTATGAGACCAGTGCAGTCTCTCTTTACTGTTTGTCTTTCAACACTGTGCTACTCTCAGCTCAATGCTTGCCTCTTTTTTTTTTTTGCATTCTTCCCCACAGATTTTCAAGCAAAAGAGACACTGCTTGCAGTCTACCAAACATACAAACTGTGGTTTAATCTTCAGACTTATAGTTTTATCAACAGACTTAAATATAATGTAGGCTGTATGTTAAATACATGTATATGTAGGTTGCTGTATATCGCCTTGTGGAACGTAATAAACAGTACTCTACATATGACAGTATCGCTTAATAACTGTTGTTGTCAGTGGTTTTCTTCCAGAGACTTAAGCACATGCTTATACATCATCATAAAGAGTGCCATATGAAATGAGGGTCTTCAGTTGGTCATCAGAAAATATTGTTTTATTTTAAAGTTTGGGGGACTAGAGCTAAATTTTTGTTGTTTACATGTAGGTCTTGCTTGTTTATGACGAAGCAGAGGTGCGCAAGATTGTGAAGGCTGCTCACTGGGTTATGGACCGACTTGGTTTAGTAGAAGGTGTTACATCTCCAAGGGGATTGCTCGTGAGTTTCAAGGTACTTAGCTTACAATGTGTACTGTTTTTTATAAGTTATCAAATAATCAATGTAAGTCTTTATTTTTAACTGCTTCCTGGGCCTGAAATTGGTTAAAAAATTATCGGTTAAAGAGACCACAAACACTACAACTTTAAAAGAGTGGATGATCAACCAAGTGGTACATTCTTTAGAGAATCAGACCATTTACAGTACGACTACTTCTACCAAGTCCACTTGAGCAAATTCTTTGCAAATTGACCACTGGCATTTTAAAAGATTTTATCAAAATGACCACAAATCTGTTGCCTTTGTAATGTACAGCTTGATTATATTTGTACATGGATAATTTGTTTGAAAACTATTGTTAACCTTCACAATTCTTATTCGTTAAAATTTTAGAAAATTTTGTTGGATGACCCTTGGTTAGAATAGTCGCACTGTAACAATGAAATTGTTTTTTGCCTTACCAGAGCTTGAAAAAAATCATGTCGAATAAATCTGCTGTGCACAAGTTGCACATGCTTCTACATTGTATAGTATGCTTGTTCCAAATAGACTTACATCTATCTGTTGCTACCTGCTAAATTATCATTTAGATTTTTTTTTTTCATATATATTAGGGTTTCACAGAGTCTTTGATGCTCTTAGCAAGCTTGTGCAACAAGAGACAAAAGGTACATGTAGATGTACTCCATTTTAAATTTTTTTCTAGCACACTATGTCAGTGTTATAAAGTTAACCTCTAGTGTAATTGTTAATGAAAGATCTCTACAATCTGCGGTGAAAAATGCTTGCAAAAGAAACACACTTTGTATATTTAAGCAACAAATTTTGCCAGGGATAACTTTGATGTTACTATGTTCAGTGCACATTTACACACAATAACCAGTGTGTAAATAAGCATTTGGAAGGTGAAAAATACATATAGGAATGTGCCCAAACAAACAAATGATTGTTTTGTGTGAAAAGTGCCAACAGACCATTTAATTTATGGTAATTACAGTAAGCCTTTTAAACTCTGGTTATATACATGTAACTCAACATGCTTCTTCTTGGAGTATTCATTGTTACTACTTTTGGTTGGGATGCTAGTTCTTTGCAAGTTCACCTGGGTGAAGTGATGCACTGTAAGGGAAAAGTCAGTGCGTTGTCCAAGAAAAGAATTTAGCAATCTGGCTGGCCAGGGCTACAACTTAGACCTCTTGGTCCTGAGTCCATTGCATCGCATAGATTAAGGTTTCTAAAAGGAGCTTTATGTAAGAAGCAGTGGTGTGATGGTTAGCATTGTGAATTCCCGATCAGGCCTTCTGGGTTCAAGCCCCAGAGGAAGTCATTGTATAATGGTATTGGGCAAGACACTTTACTCCCACACCCAGTTGTTTATAATAGGTACTGGCAAATTTAATGCTGGTGGTAACCCTGTGATGGACTAGCTTCCTATCCAGGAAGAAGTAGAAATACTCCTAGTCACTTCACACTACAGAAACCAGGATAAGCTCTGGCTGTATACTCAACTAGCCTGGTGCAGACTTTTAAGGAACATAACTTATAGATCTTTGCATTGATTCAGCAAAAACTAAAAACCAGATGAATGTTGTCCATTTCATAAAATTAGTTGAAAACCATTTTTCCATTTTTCTCACTCATTGAGTTACAAAGTCACTGAGTTATAATTAATTCTCATGCATTCAGGAGCTCAGTAATCCATGTCAGAGGGACAGGCTTTTGTCAGCAATGATGACTCTAAAGAAGTCTATAGGATTATTGTCAACATCCATGCAGACATATCTGAATAATGCAGCCAATCTCCAAGCAAAGGTATACAGTATTGACCATGTACTGCATAATGAGAAATAATGATCAATTTCAAATTAATTTTACTGTGAAGCACAGAAGAAACAAACCCATCTGTTGACAGTTTCCAAAAAATCTAGTAGTTGTTATTAACTGAGTTAGTTCAGATTTACATGTATGCGTCTCTATGTCAGACAGTGATCTGTCCTTGGGACAATTAACTCAAGGTGCCAGTGTAGATCAGAAAGGGGAAATTTGACATAGTGTTGTGGTCATGTGTAGATCTATTCCTGAAGAAGATTGTTAAATAAAAAAATTATTTTGAACAACTTTATTTTGACAAGATATCAACTGGCCATGCTTGGGTAATTCTGTTTTCCTGACAGGCTAGTCGTGACTACGTGGTCGGTCAAATCATGCTGGCTTGTACCGAAATTATCAAAATAGTAGAAGCCCGGGAAGATCTGGATCAGAGTGTTGATCAGCCTGGTTACATGGCTGCTACATTGGAAAAGGTACATTTAACAAAATGTAATAAACCAGGGTCTGAGCCGGTTTTTAATGCATTAGGGTCAATTGATTTTGTCCCCTCATCAAAAGTTTTAAGGGCATTTTTTTCTTTTCCAATCAGTGGGTCAAAGAACAGTCAACAAAAGTTTATTAAAAGTTCTCCTGTTACATGAATATTTACATTAAAAAGTAGGGAAAGATCAAAAGGCAAGACATGAAATGAGCTCTGATTAACAGAGGAAATTCATTACCGGTAACTAAAGGTAATTTAAACATTCCAGAAAATGTCAGTCAGTCATTGTTATATGCACAAAGATGTACAATAGCTCAGGATATCTTGCTGCTGATTGTAGAACCCTTCACTTGGCCTCACTCTTGTTGATTGTTTGTCCATAATCCTGCATCATATCTTCTTCACCAGTCTAAAGGATGTAATAATGGACTCATGGGTCTTGGACCTCCTAGATAATCAGGTCTTTCTCTGCCTTTTTCAACATTTTAAGTGCCACTCCTTGTGTAATTATGGGCGAATTGTACCCCTTGTGACAATACAGGAACACCTCTCCTGTTGACAATCTTAGCTGCCTTGACTCCATCCACCTGGTCTTTTAATGAATTAATACCACAAGGTTGTAACTGCATTACTGATACCTGGACTTTCCCCCTATCTTATTTATTGTTCTCACTGGCAGTTCATGTTCCAGTCTTTAAGTTTGCAGTAATTGGCAGAAGGATAGCTGGCATTTAGTCTTACTTCCTTTTGGCTTTCCCTACAACTTGAAGGCCCTTTTATTCCAGGACTTACAAAGTCTGTTGATTAATTCTTGGTTATCTCAAGCATTTTTGACTTATACTTGGTTGGATTGCTTGTCCCATGCATGACCTCCAAATTGAAGGACCAAGCTGTTTCTTTTGTTTGGAACTTCTCTGTGCAGACCAATCTGGCAAGGTTGGCATATCCCTTGGGAATCAGGCTGACATATCCCTTGGGAATGAAACACCACATGATGTCTTCCTGTTAGTGTCTTGCCCTCTCCTGGCAAGGAGACTTACTAGGTGACTTTTTCATTTTTGGCTTTTTTTAATGCTTCCCAATTTAGTTGTAAAAAAATGCTGATGTTACACTGGGGATTTGCTAGCATTATGGCTGTAAAGTCACTCTTTCTTATTTCTGAAGACATGCTCAGACTGCTGAAAAGATCTCATTAAACTAGATGCCCTATTGCTTTACTTTCAAGTTCCATCAACATGTTAGGGACTTTTCCGTGTTAATCAAATAGAGAGAGACAAGTAGAGAGGGAGGGAACTTGCTTCAGATTGAAACATTTATTAGCCTGCAGGACTTTTAAATGAAAGAATCAGCATTGGTTACAAACAGAAATTTTAAAGTTGTGGATTTTCAACACAGGCCCACAAGCAACTGTCTCCCCACAGTAGACTGGGAGCTGGTAATGAGCTTGACTGTTACTTGGATGCTATTGTGCGAAGCAGCATGGGCGTGGCCAACAGCTGTGATGGTCGAAGAAGGGAATGCATTGTACAGGCCTGTCAAAGTGTGAGTTATAATAATTTTTTTTTATTATTACACTAGAAGAACTGGTGATACATGTAACTAGCATATTGCATGTTTTCTAATGCAACTTCTTGAATTGGGCCACTTGAAACAGAGTTAACCAATCAGTGGTGATCTTTTAAAAAAATGAACCAATAATGTTGAAAAATATAAGCGATAGATCGACAACAAAAATTTAAAACCCAGCGAAGTTACAGAATGTTGCGGACATTTTAGGAAGCTTGGAGATTTTATAATTGGTTAGCCTTCCTTCCTACAGTTTGAGCCATTTTCATTGGTTTAGTATAGCTGTCATAAAATGAGTTTGAAAGCAAAATCTTTTTGGCAAATTTTTACTGGTAATCATAATAATTTTTGATCTGTTTATTATGTGCGTTATAGATTGAAGAGTCTGTATTATACAAATTCAAGTAAAAATACTTTTATTGGCCTTTTCATGGAGTATGGTCTGGATTCTTCAACATCAATGACTAGCCTCTTTACAAAAGATCATCAATTTTTCTCAATTACTATGCGAGTCAAAAAATCATGCCCAACTTGATTTGATTCTGACAGGTCAGTTGTGTACTGACCAATCACAGTGAAGTTCAGAACACATAAGCAAACCACAAACTAATTAACNGATTAAAAGTAGAGAATTCAAAATTCAAACAAGAGTGGCAAATACACAAATGTTGTGAGTCATAGGAGACAAACTGTACACTGGAATTGGCAGAATTTGGCGTGTGCTGTAGGTTGCTGACAGACGTGCGACATAACTTTGTAGACCAACCAATAGAATTATTCTATCACCAGAGTGCTGAGCATCAGAAACACTGTATGAGACCAGTGCAGTCTCTCTTTACTGTTTGTCTTTCAACACTGTGCTACTCTCAGCTCAATGCTTGCCTCTTTTTTTTTTTTGCATTCTTCCCCACAGATTTTCAAGCAAAAGAGACACTGCTTGCAGTCTACCAAACATACAAACTGTGGTTTAATCTTCAGACTTATAGTTTTATCAACAGACTTAAATATAATGTAGGCTGTATGTTAAATACATGTATATGTAGGTTGCTGTATATCGCCTTGTGGAACGTAATAAACAGTACTCTACATATGACAGTATCGCTTAATAACTGTTGGTGTCAGTGGTTTTCTTCCAGAGACTTAAGCACATGCTTATACATCATCATAAAGAGTGCCATATGAAATGAGGGTCTTCGGTTGGTCATCAGAAAATATTGTTTTATTTTAAAGTTTGGGGGACTAGAGCTAAATTTTTGTTGTTTACATGTAGGTCTTGCTTGTTTATGACGAAGCAGAGGTGCGCAAGATTGTGAAGGCTGCTCACTGGGTTATGGACCGACTTGGTTTAGTAGAAGGTGTTACATCTCCAAGGGGATTGCTCGTGAGTTTCAAGGTACTTAGCTTACAATGTGTACTGTTTTTTATAAGTTATCAAATAATCAATGTAAGTCTTTATTTTTAACTGCTTCCTGGGCCTGAAATTGGTTAAAAAATTATCGGTTAAAGAGACCACAAACACTACAACTTTAAAAGAGTGGATGATCAACCAAGTGGTACATTCTTTAGAGAATCAGACCATTTACAGTACGACTACTTCTACCAAGTCCACTTGAGCAAATTCTTTGCAAATTGACCACTGGCATTTTAAAAGATTTTATCAAAATGACCACAAATCTGTTGCCTTTGTAATGTACAGCTTGATTATATTTGTACATGGATAATTTGTTTGAAAACTATTGTTAACCTTCACAATTCTTATTCGTTAAAATTTTAGAAAATTTTGTTGGATGACCCTTGGTTAGAATAGTCGCACTGTAACAATGAAATTGTTTTTTGCCTTACCAGAGCTTGAAAAAAATCATGTCGAATAAATCTGCTGTGCACAAGTTGCACATGCTTCTACATTGTATAGTATGCTTGTTCCAAATAGACTTACATCTATCTGTTGCTACCTGCTAAATTATCATTTAGATTTTTTTTTTTCATATATATTAGGGTTTCACAGAGTCTTTGATGCTCTTAGCAAGCTTGTGCAACAAGAGACAAAAGGTACATGTAGATGTACTCCATTTTAAATTTTTTTCTAGCACACTATGTCAGTGTTATAAAGTTAACCTCTAGTGTAATTGTTAATGAAAGATCTCTACAATCTGCGGTGAAAAATGCTTGCAAAAGAAACACACTTTGTATATTTAAGCAACAAATTTTGCCAGGGATAACTTTGATGTTACTATGTTCAGTGCACATTTACACACAATAACCAGTGTGTAAATAAGCATTTGGAAGGTGAAAAATACATATAGGAATGTGCCCAAACAAACAAATGATTGTTTTGTGTGAAAAGTGCCAACAGACCATTTAATTTATGGTAATTACAGTAAGCCTTTTAAACTCTGGTTATATACATGTAACTCAACATGCTTCTTCTTGGAGTATTCATTGTTACTACTTTTGGTTGGGATGCTAGTTCTTTGCAAGTTCACCTGGGTGAAGTGATGCACTGTAAGGGAAAAGTCAGTGCGTTGTCCAAGAAAAGAATTTAGCAATCTGGCTGGCCAGGGCTACAACTTAGACCTCTTGGTCCTGAGTCCATTGCATCGCATAGATTAAGGTTTCTAAAAGGAGCTTTATGTAAGAAGCAGTGGTGTGATGGTTAGCATTGTGAATTCCCGATCAGGCCTTCTGGGTTCAAGCCCCAGAGGAAGTCATTGTATAATGGTATTGGGCAAGACACTTTACTCCCACACCCAGTTGTTTATAATAGGTACTGGCAAATTTAATGCTGGTGGTAACCCTGTGATGGACTAGCTTCCTATCCAGGAAGAAGTAGAAATACTCCTAGTCACTTCACACTACAGAAACCAGGATAAGCTCTGGCTGTATACTCAACTAGCCTGGTGCAGACTTTTAAGGAACATAACTTATAGATCTTTGCATTGATTCAGCAAAAACTAAAAACCAGATGAATGTTGTCCATTTCACAAAATTAGTTGAAAACCATTTTTCCATTTTTCTCACTCATTGAGTTACAAAGTCACTTAGTTATAATTAATTCTCATGCATTCAGGAGCTCAGTAATCCACGTCAGAGGGACAGGCTTTTGTCAGCAATGATGACTCTAAAGAAGTCTATAGGATTATTGTCAACATCCATGCAGACATATCTGAATAATGCAGCCAATCTCCAAGCAAAGGTATACAGTATTGACCATGTACTGCATAATGAGAAATAATGATCAATTTCAAATTAATTTTACTGTGAAGCACAGAAGAAACAAACCCATCTGTTGACAGTTTCCAAAAAATCTAGTAGTTGTTATTAACTGAGTTAGTTCAGATTTACATGTATGCGTCTCTATGTCAGACAGTGATCTGTCCTTGGGACAATTAACTCAAGGTGCCAGTGTAGATCAGAAAGGGGAAATTTGACTTAGTGTTGTGGTCATGTGTAGATCTATTCCTGAATAAGATTGTTAAATAAAAAAAATTATTTTGAACAACTTTATTTTGACAAGATATCAACTGGCCATGCTTGGGTAATTCTGTTTTCCTGACAGGCTAGTCGTGACTACGTGGTCGGTCAAATCATGCTGGCTTGTACCGAAATTATCAAAATAGTAGAAGCCCGGGAAGATCTGGATCAGAGTGTTGATCAGCCTGGTTACATGGCTGCTACATTGGAAAAGGTACATTTAACAAAATGTAATAAACCAGGGTCTGAGCCGGTTTTTAATGCATTAGGGTCAATTGATTTTGTCCCCTCATCAAAAGTTTTAAGGGCATTTTTTTCTTTTCCAATCAGTGGGTCAAAGAACAGTCAACAAAAGTTTATTAAAAGTTCTCCTGTTACATGAATATTTACATTAAAAAGTAGGGAAAGATCAAAAGGCAAGACATGAAATGAGCTCTGATTAACAGAGGAAATTCATTACCAGTAACTAAAGGTAATTTAAACATTCCAGAAAATGTCAGTCAGTCATTGTTATATGCACAAAGATGTACAATAGCTCAGGATATCTTGCTGCTGATTGTAGAACCCTTCACTTGGCCTCACTCTTGTTGATTGTTTGTCCATAATCCTGCATCATATCTTCTTCACCAGTCTAAAGGATGTAATAATGGACTCATGGGTCTTGGACCTCCTAGATAATCAGGTCTTTCTCTGCCTTTTTCAACATTTTAAGTGCCACTCCTTGTGTAATTATGGGCGAATTGTACCCCTTGTGACAATACAGGAACACCTCTCCTGTTGACAATCTTAGCTGCCTTGACTCCATCCACCTGGTCTTTTAATGAATTAATACCACAAGGTTGTAACTGCATTACTGATACCTGGACTTTCCCCCTATCTTATTTATTGTTCTCACTGGCAGTTCATGTTCCAGTCTTTAAGTTTGCAGTAATTGGCAGAAGGATAGCTGGCATTTAGTCTTACTTCCTTTTGGCTTTCCCTACAACTTGAAGGCCCTTTTATTCCAGGACTTACAAAGTCTGTTGATTAATTCTTGGTTATCTCAAGCATTTTTGACTTATACTTGGTTGGATTGCTTGTCCCATGCATGACCTCCAAATTGAAGGACCAAGCTGTTTCTTTTGTTTGGAACTTCTCTGTGCAGACCAATCTGGCAAGGTTGGCATATCCCTTGGGAATCAGGCTGACATATCCCTTGGGAATGAAACACCACATGATGTCTTCCTGTTAGTGTCTTGCCCTCTCCTGGCAAGGAGACTTACTAGGTGACTTTTTCATTTTTGGCTTTCTATAATGCTTCCCAATTTAGTTGTAAAAAAATGCTGATGTTACACTGGGGATTTGCTAGCATTATGGCTGTAAAGTCACTGTTTCTTATTTCTGAAGACATGCTCAGACTGCTGAAAAGATCTCATTAAACTAGATGCCCTATTGCTTTACTTTCAAGTTCCATCAACATGTTAGGGACTTTTCCGTGTTAATCAAATAGAGAGAGACAAGTAGAGAGGGAGGGAACTTGCTTCAGATTGAAACATTTATTAGCCTGCAGGACTTTTAAATGAAAGAATCAGCATTGGTTACAAACAGAAATTTTAAAGTTGTGGATTTTCAACACAGGCCCACAAGCAACTGTCTCCCCACAGTAGACTGGGAGCTGGTAATGAGCTTGACTGTTACTTGGATGCTATTGTGCGAAGCAGCATGGGCGTGGCCAACAGCTGTGATGGTCGAAGAAGGGAATGCATTGTACAGGCCTGTCAAAGTGTGAGTTATAATAATTTTTTTTTATTATTACACTAGAAGAACTGGTGATACATGTAACTAGCATATTGCATGTTTTCTAATGCAACTTCTTGAATTGGGCCACTTGAAACAGAGTTAACCAATCAGTGGTGATCTTTTAAAAAAATGAACCAATAATGTTGAAAAATATAAGCGATAGATCGACAACAAAAATTTAAAACCCAGCGAAGTTACAGAATGTTGCGGACATTTTAGGAAGCTTGGAGATTTTATAATTGGTTAGCCTTCCTTCCTACAGTTTGAGCCATTTTCATTGGTTTAATATAGCTGTCATAAAATGAGTTTGAAAGCAAAATCTTTTTGGCAAATTTTTACTGGTAATCATAATAATTTTTGATCTGTTTGTTATGTGCGTTATAGATTGAAGAGTCTGTATTATACAAATTCAAGTAAAAATACTTTTATTGGCCTTTTCATGGAGTATGGTCTGGATTCTTCAACATCAATGACTAGCCTCTTTACAAAAGATCATCAATTTTTCTCAATTACTATGCGAGTCAAAAAATCATGCCCAACTTGATTTGATTCTGACAGGTCAGTTGTGTACTGACCAATCACAGTGAAGTTCAGAACACATAAGCAAACCACAAACTAATTAACATAATTGTTGTTTGCAGTTCAATCAGCTTTTTCACTCTTAACTGGCTTTTTCCTTGCTACACAATAACACTTCATTAATACTTCTGGTGTTTATGGTTATCTGTCTTAGTTTCACAGTAACATTTTGATAGGTCAGATTTTTTTGATTGGCACAATTCAAGTAGTTGTACAGTACCTATTAAACTAATTATTGTTTTTGTGCAATTATATCCTATCTTTCAAGGTTCTTAACATGAGAAATGAGCTTGCTGAGCTGCAGAAAACGTTTTTAGCAAACCCTTTGTCACAAAGGTCAAGGTGATGCAGTTATGCTGTACTTTTGTGTTGGGAGGGCAAATGGGTCTTCAAAACATGTCTCAAAGAAGTTTAGTTAAATTTTGTGGGTTTTACATGTATCATCTCACACTTTTTGCAACACTGTCTTGAAATCATGTCTTCTTTTGTGAGGACAGACATTAGTTTGCCATC